CTGAGAAAAAGGTGAGAATGGTTAAAGAAAACAAAGAAAGCTGCCAATTAGAACCAATCACATGAGTATTCATGATAGGTGTGTGTGGTAGAGTTCCAAATGGTCCAGTCTGGCAAAGGGAGCATTTGACTCAGTGCAGGATAGTCAAAAAAGATTCACTCCTCCTTTACCCCCTTGCTCCTCCTTTCAATGAAATTTAGTGAATGCCTCCTATGTCCCAGGTGCAGAATATAGATTGTTCCAGAAGTGGATCTTCCCTATAAAGAGCTCACAGACTAGTGAGATGTGGAGAGCAGCCAATGTAAGCAAACATGACCTTTAGACACATGCAGAAACGTGGTTTTGTGAGCTGTCATTTGCACAGTGATGAAGGCAATTTGTATGTGAATACTAGCTGCCTATTGTTATTGAAACTGCAGAGCAGTATTGCTCTAGAGACAATTACATGTGTTTAATCAGAGCCAACCTCAAAATATCAGAGAAGCTACATGGCACCAGTTATCTTCTCATCTTCAGCCAATTAACACCCCAAAACAACTGGCTTTGCATTCCATTTCCTCTTCTCCCATTTTTTGCCCTTTAAAACAATAAATTTGAGATCGGTTCAGGGTCACGGCTACCTCTATTAGAGAAGTCAGGCTCACCCAAGCCTCGCTTTTCTATACTATATGTCTTTGTATGTTTATTTTTGTGTTTATTTCTAATCCACAACCTTCCCCACTCAAAAAAAAATACATGTTCTGCCGAGTGGGTCCCGACAGTAAGGAAGAGAGAAGGCCCGGAATTCATTGAGAATTTCTATTTTAAGAAACAGAAATGTTGTTTAACATCTTTACCCAGTCTTGGTGAATTTTGTTTTGCTCAGTGTTTGGAAGGAAAACCCTGTAATCCACATTATTTCTTTCAATTTTTTTGTCTAGGTTTCTGCAAATCTCAGAGTTAAAACTTGTGCTTAATTAAAAGTAGCGTTCTTTAGCCTAGGTTTTTCTTGAAATTAATTTGCTTTTCTTTTTCTATCTTTTGTTTATGTTTTTGTGATTTTATTGTATCTGAGACTTTTGTAGTAAAGTACCTCAAAATAGAGATGCAACTGGAATACACAAACAAAATAACTTTTAATTTCCATTTACCTTGACAGTCTCTACTTCTGATCTGTGACAAGATGTCAATATATCTCTCACTAGTGCCTGGTCATTTCCCCCATATACAGACATCTCTCATTGCATTTATAGCTTCTCTATATAGAGGATCAACCAAGTATTGAAACTGACATGTGTGAATGTGTACTTTTTTTATTTTTTTGAGAGTTTGCAATAGAGCACGTGTACTCATCAGAGAGACAGAAAGTGAGAAATCATCTCCCCCGGGGCGGGGGGGGATGGCTATGCCACAATCCCTTCTCCTCTTGGGATTTTGAGCATGCACACACACGTGCTTGGCATGAGTTTTAAGTTACCAGATCCAGGACTCAAACCATTACGCCATCTGCTGGTCCCTGTACATTTTTTAAAGGCAATAATTGTTAAAAGTATTTTGGTGACATTCAAAATTCAAAAAGTAATCTATTCTTACATTATTTTTTTCACTATAGTTTTTGTTTTCTATCTATTGAAAAGACTGTGAAAACCAGTGTAAGTAAATCAAGTACTAGGGAGGACAGTAACCGTTGTCAGTTGAGATACAAGCAGTGCTTGGAGTCATTCTGATTGCCTTGCCTCCTTGAAATTCTGTGGGTAGAGGCCAGGAATGCTGGCCTCCAAACATCCCGTGACACATAGGACAAGCCCGTACACCTAAATGTTAACCATTTCAAAATGCCATGTACTAACAGGATTTTTAGACTTCTAAAACCTGGAAGGATTCATAGAACGTTTGTAATTTAGGCTAAAAACAAAGCTCAAGGCAAATGAGATTCATAGAATGATATTCTGGAGCTAATAGAGAAAGTCATTTAGTCCAGTCTCTCCCTTCCCTAGATAAGCTAACAGTCACACAGGAAAAGTGAACTGAAGCAGTATTACTTCTTCATCTCCTAAATAGGTTTTCAAGCAATTACCCAATTTCTCTGTGCCTCAGATTATTTTTCTTCAAAAAAGGGATAAAACTTGCCTCAAATGAGTGCTATAAAGATGAAGTAAAATATAATTCAGGTAAAATATTTAGTACAGTAACTGGTCATAGTAAGTTCTTTTTGGTTTGGTTTGGTTTGGTGGTTTGTTTTAGGGCCCATGTGCTCAATGAAGAGAGACAGAGAGAAAGTTAGAAATCACTCCCCCCACCCTCCTGTTGAATTGCCACATGATAATCCCTTCTCTCTCTTTGTGCATGCATGCACACATGTCTGGTACATCTTTGAATCTGCCAGGTCCAGGACTCTAACTACTCAGTTGGCCATGTGGGATCCAGCTGCCTTAGTCTCTATGTCACCTCTGGCCCCTTAGTGAGTTCTTAATAAATACAAGGGCATCTTTTAAAAACTGTGGAAAAATACATATTATGAAAAACAACATATTGGACTTCAGAATGTTTTTGCACCAAAATAGTCTTATTTTAATTCCATTTTTTTCACAGACTTTTTCAAGTTCCTGTGTAGTGATGACTTTAAAAGCCATCACTTTTGATGACTTTTGAAATAAAGTCATGGGATTGAGGTGGTGATTGTCATTATTTCTATTACCCTAAATAAGAGCTAGTTTGAAGCTTGTTTATCCCTCTTCCCCTGACTCTTAGACCCCCCCTTTTTTTTTTCTGTTACACCACCTTGAGGGTCAATGAAGAATGGTTATAGGGACAATTTAATGGAGATTAAAGAAAGTCAATCTGTAGAGCAGCTTATTAGCTAGTAATTCTATAGAAAGTCCGAACAAAAGTATTCCATAAAAAACAGAAGGGACGTATCTTCTCTATAAAAGATAAGAGAGCTTCAAGGAACAAATTAGAAAGATCAGTCTCACCTGAAACAGACTACCTTTCTTTCCTCAGAGCTCTATGAATGGTGTTCTAGATGTTCACACCTGCAGGAAATGTGTAACCTAGACTAGGTGAGTCCCTGAAATGACAGGATAGGTTGTGTATCTAAAGAGCTTTTCAACTGTAGGAGTCTCAGCTGATGTTGTATGGCCCTTGGGCTGGTAAGCTCTCATTGTAGATTATGTCCAATAGGCACATGAAGATGACACCACAAACCCCTTGTTCTGTGGTTTGTGGAGTAAAATGCTTTATTCAATTTTTGCTAAATAAGTCATCATGAGCATGTGATTAAGTGCTGTGTAAATGCTTTTTCCTTTGAAAATAGTAATAAATTATCATACCAACATTCTATGAAGTAGATGTCCTCTCATTTTCTTTAAACATTTTTAAAAATTCTCTGCTGTTTTTCCAAGACTTTTTATTTTACTTGTTAGGTTAGTCAACTAAATTGTTTTTTGGCTAGTGGCCTTCTATACAAATGAGCAGAATTCAGAAGTATTAAGTTTTCTGTGTGGTAAGCATTCAAGAGGGACTTTAAAAAGTTCATGAGAGGGACCGGTAGTTGGTGTAATGGTTTTGTTGCTGGACTCCCACATAGTTGACCAGGGTTCAAGTCCTGGATCCAGTGGCTTAAAAACTCATGCCGGGCACATGCGTATGTATGTCCAAAATCCCAAGAAGAAAATGAAGGAGAAGGGATTGCAGTATGGTCATCCTCATTGGGGAGTGATTTCTCACTTTCCATCTCCCTGTCTCTCTCTATCTCTCCAGGAAGCACACACATCCTGTAGCAAAAGTCTCTCTTAAAAAAGTAAAAAAAGAGGGAACCAGCAGTTAGCGTAATGGCTATGTCGCTGGACTCCCACGTAGTCGACCGCGGTTCGTGTCCCGGACCCGGTAGCTTAAAACTCACGCCGGGCGTGTGTGCGTGCGTGCCCAAGATCCCGGGAGGAGAATGGAGGAGAAGGGATTGTGGCGTGACCATCCCCCCTGGGGGGTGATTTCTCGCTTTCTGTCTCTATGTCTTTCTCTGTCTGTCTGGCGAGCGCACGCGCCCTATAGTGGAAAAAAAAAAAAAAAAAACCTCTAAAAAAAAAAAAAAGAAAAAAAATTAAAAAAAGAAAAAAAGTTCATTGGAAATTGAATTAAAGTACTAGTCAGTTATGGTGCAAAAAAAAATTTTTTTAATCCATTTTTTTAATAGTATATACTTTCCATGAACTTTTTGAAGACACCTCACCAATTAAACCCTCTTAAGAGAAAATCTCATTTGTGCAGAAATTTTCTCTTGAATATCCCAAGGGTCTCCTCTTGAACCCCCAAAATTATTCTATATCCCACAAAAATATTCTCCATAGTTAATCATTTAAAGACACTTTCTTCTCCATCAAGAACAAGCTGGGACCCAGCCTCAGTGATAGCATGATGAAGTGCAGTGCTGGAAGCCACATGGCCGACCATGGGTTCATATTCCCAGGTTCACCTGAAATGCGCCTGGTATGTGTACTCATGATTCTGATGAACTGGAGGGCTGCAGAAAAGGATTGCAGCTTGCCAAGACCCTGTCTTCCTCTCTCATGCACGTGCATACACTTTCATGAATAAAAATTTTTTAAAAAAACTTTTTAAAAAAGAATTCATTGATATATGAAAAAATACTGAATGAATTTTAGTTGATTTTGCCTATTTTCTATGTACCTGTGAGATATTTAAGACCCACAAGAAGTCAGAAGAGCAGCACATGCCCATCCAATGGGTGCTGGCTGAGCACTGGACACCATGCTACTACAAGTTCAGTTAAGTGATCTGTCCCAAGTCACATAGTAGGAGAACCAAGACAACAACCCTGCCTAGCTTCTAAATGGATGAAATTAAATACATAGTGTTTGCTGCAGCCTACTGGAAAAACTTTTCAGAAAAATAATTTCAAAAATCCACTCCAAGAGCACAGTGTTCTTACTGCAGAATGCCTCATTGAGATTAGTATCCTGTATTTTAATTTGACCTTCAATTTCTTTTTTTTCTTTAAGGTGTTGTGTAACGGACCAGGAACATGTGTACCTATCTGTATATCTGCCCTTCTCCTTGGGATACTAGGAATAAAGAAAGTGATCATTGTCTACATTGAAAGCATCTGCCGTGTAGAGACTTTGTCCCTGTCCGGAAAGATTCTGTTTCATCTCTCAGATTACTTCATTGTTCAGTGGCCGACTCTTAAGGAGAAGTATCCCAAATCTGTGTACCTCGGGCGAATTGTTTGACAGATGGCAACTTACTTGTTTAGAATTTGGGGGTCAAAAATAGTATTTAAAATAATTGAGAAAAACATCTACATGTATATTGTAAAGGCATCTGAAAAGTCTGAGAATTATTGATGGTAAAAAGTAAAAAGAAAAAAAAATGTACAAATAACTTAGTGAAGAAACTGAAGTTTAACTATTAAATGTTTATGCTTCTGTATATCAGGTTTTTTTCTAGATAAGAAGTAAATATCACTACCTGAAAATCATCTTAGGACTTTTTTCCCTAGAACTAAATATAGCGTTTGTATGATTAGTAACATTTCCTGTTCTATAGCTTTTTTTTTTTTTAACAGTACTCTGCATTTTTAAAAGGAAAGAAAAAGAGAGGTGTTTTTGAGTTTTTGTTCAGATACAGCAGGCTTTATTTCCTGTATGGGAGTAGTGGTGTCCCTAGTGAATCCCTTCAGCAGAAAGGAAGCAGTTACATGAAATTGGCTTCATGACAGTTTGCACTTCACCAGCTTCCAGAACATTGAGCATAAAACATTCTCTTTTTGTTCCTCAGTCTTTATGAGTAGTTGGCCTCAATTCAGAGTACCTTTAAAATTTCTTCTGTAATTGTTAAAATAAATTAAAGGGTAACCAACTATTGTAGTAATAAAACCATGATTCTGTTTATCAAGAATCTAAACTCTCAAAACATACTTTTCAAGAGTTTTAGTCAGTTCATAATGCCATGGTTGTCGTTGCCTCTGGCATTTTAAGGTGTTTAGACTCGTGAGAGTTTATGTTTACTAGACATTTATGTAGCGCTTGCTGTATGCCAGGTAGTCTTCTAAACACTTTTCAACCACTATTTCATCCTTGTAAGAGCTCCATGAGGCAGAGACTGTTATTATCCCCATTTGCAGATGGCTTGTCCAAGATCCCATGACTGGTAAGTGGCAAAGGCAGGATTCAGGCCCAGGTGGCCTGGCTTGAGAGTGGCACCAGTTTTATGGGAATGTGGCCTATGCACTCACCTTGGGTTCCACACTTAAGAGGGCCCTGCTCTCTGTTTAATACTCTGCGGTCACTCTCTGAAATCTCTTAATCATCTTTAAACAAAAAGACTCACATTTTAGATCCCACTAATTATGTAGCTGGTCCTGCTTAAAACTTTGTGCTTCCCATGACTCCATGTCAGAAGTGCATCATCTAGAGCAGCAGCTGACCTAGGGAGCTCCTCAGCACACAGGAGTCTGATTTCTCTCCTGCTCGGCTCTGCTCCTATAGCAAAGCAACAAAAAGTGAGAAGACTCTCTTTTTTGTAGTATTCGAGTTTATAGACAATATGGCTTTTTTTCCTCTAAATTTTTTTGGTTTTGTAAGCATGTTATAAATCTAATAAGAGATGGTAGATGATAAAAAGATTGAAATAATAATAAGACTGAATTTTAGTGAAAAGCAGTATAATCACCCATGACATGAAATTAAATTGCAAGGCTGGGACTAGGCAGTGGCACAGAAGTGAAAACACGACCCTTTACAAGGCAGACCCACATGGGAAGGTTGTAATTCATGCCCTGAGACCTCCCTGAATATGCCAACCACGCATGTGTCTGTAACCCAGGGCTGGGTGGAGCTGGGCACATCGCTGCATCAAGACCCTGTCAGGAATGTTATACTCTGTCTCTCTCCTTCTCTCTCTCTCTCAGTCTATTCATGGAATAAATACATAAACTTGAAAAAAAAAATGTTGAGGTGAAGTAAGCTTTCTTGTTCTTTTAGAAAAACTGTTTCTCAGGGCCAGCAGGTGGTGTGGTAGTTAAGGCACTGGATTCCCACATGACCAACTGCAGTTTGAGTCCCTGACTCAGCGTCTTAGAAATCATACCGGGTGCATGTGTGTGTGTGTGTGTGTGTGTGTGTGTGTGTGTGTGTGTGTGTGTGTATGTGTGTGTGCATGCCCAAAATCCTGAGAGGAGAATGGGGGAGAAGGGATTACAGCATGGCCTTACCCCCAGGAGGTGATTTCTCACTTTCTCTCCCTAATGAGTGCACATGTCCTATGGCAAAACCCTAAAAAATGAAAGAAAGAAAGAAAAAGAAAATCTCTTTCTGTATCAGGTAACATAGGTGCATCTGCCATCAGGACGTTTCCCAAGGTCTTTGGCTACAGAAACACAAGATAAATGACAACTCAGAATGGTGAGAAATGGTGAGAACACTTTGCAGTCTGAATTCATTGGCCATGGGGCAGCCAAGTGGTTGTTCGTTGTGCTTAGATTATTTTTTAAGGTTTTTAAATTAGGTGGGTTTTCTTTTTTTTTTCAATTCATGATAGAATATGCATGCACACACATGAGAGAAGGAAAGAGAAGAAATCGTGATCCTGCTTACCCAGCCCTTCAGCTCGTCAGGATCTTGCATACATGTGCAGGTACCACGGTGTGTTCAAGCTGACTCAAGGCTCTGAACCTGTGGTCAGCCATGTGACTTCCAGCACTGCAGCTGGCATTGCTGCACCACCAGCCGGAGTCCATCATGCTTTGATTTTAATCCTCAACTCTCAGGCACTAGCCCTGTTTCCACTATACCTACAGACCCAGAGGATCAGACAGAGTATTAGTGTGGTTCACCACAGGGTTGAGATGAAATAAGCTCAACTGATTTTTTTTTCAGGGACAGCAACATCTGCAATTTATTCACGTTTGACTCTTTCTCTGCTCTGTACTTTGTTCATAAGTGGCACCGGTAAACGGTCGATGAGAGAAAGTGGACTGCATTTAGCTCAGTTAACGCCTGTCTATGCCGCAGGGCAGCTTCCCCAGGCCCCCATGGATAATCCTGCTATAGAGGCTTCTGTCAGGCCGGAACTTACAGTGCTCAGGCTAGAGAGAGCTGTAGAAAAGGATGCCATAATTCTTTCCAGAAACATATGTCCCAGATGTTTTGCAGAGCCTTCACTTAGACAGTGGTTAGCCTGGAATGTCAGAGAAAGAATCTGTGTGTGCTATATCACTAAAAGCTGAAAAATCTCTTCCCCGGGTTCAGGCTGTGTGCACATTCAGAGCCAGGGTAAGGCACGTGGTGGTATCGTGTCTTCCTGCCCAGTTCCAGATTATTTGGTAAACAACTGCGTGCTCTGCTGTGCGTATTGTTATGGCTAATTTGAGTCCTCAAGGTCACACCAGCAGAGGGGGCTGGTTCAGACTGCAGGAGGGGGCGCAGATTTCCTGCTGTGCATTTCTGTGGCATAGAAAGATAGTGCTCTAGTGTCAACACGAGCTGAAGATCAGTAGCAAGTTATCCTTGCCATTTTCCCTGAAATCAGTCTGGAATATAACATCTACTGTAAGAGGCTGTTCATGAAAAAATGAACTGAATCAGTCTTCAAATGAGAGGCAGGGAAACCACACATCCTGCCCACACCTACTTCCCTGGGAGATTTTTATCTGCAGTTGAGCTGTCCTAAAAGGTCTCAGCAGTTTGCCAGGTCCGGAGGACAAACTAGTTCAAGTAGGATGCCCAAAAATCATGACAGGAAGCTTTAGCCTGGAACGAAGAGTGCACTGAAGCCGTGTCAGCAGGGGAGTGCTGCACAGTTTTCAACTGAATAGCAAGAGATCCTTGCTAGAAAGACGGCGACCCACACTTTCCTTCATAAAAGCTGCTCCCACTGCACTGTTTATTTAAGCTTCCAAAGAAATGTGGTACGTTAAAATTGGGAACCTACCCTCTTTCTGTACCGTTCCTTGGGTTGAATCAGTGCTTTTTTTTTTTTTTTTTCTGAAAATCCCATCCCCAGAAGGAGTTTGATAGCAGTGCATCAGCACTTTCTACCAGTGATAACGACATTGTCGGTGGTGGTAACAGAAGGTGGTCCTCCTCCATACAGGGCAGCATTTGGGGTCTTGCGGGGTTCCTTTCCATGACTACAGTGTAGACATGCAGTGAACAGACACCCAAATTGTGTCCGCCTGGAACGTTCTTCCGTCAGGGCACTTTGCTCTTGCACCCTAGAAACAAATGATCTGCGATTGTGTTCTTTTTTTTTTTTTTTTGGAGAGATTTTCACTGCAGGGCGCGTGCGCTCGCCAGACAGACAGAGACATAGAGACAGAAAGCGAGAAATCACCCCCCAGGGGGGATGGTCACGCCGCAATCCCTTCTCCTCCATTCTCCTCTTGGGATCTTGGGCACGCACGCACACGCACCTGGCGTGAGTTTTAAGCCACCGGGTCTGGGACACGAACCGCGGTCGACTACGTGGGAGTCCAGCGACATAGCCATTACGCCAACTGCTGGTTCCCTGCTATTGTGTTCTTGTATCTGATTGATTTTAAGCATGGATTTGACATAGCTTTTTTCCCACTGTAGTACTACATTAATGTCATTGTGCTAGCTGCTCGCATATGCCTCAAGCGATAAATTGGAAGCGATTTTGGTTTTTTCACTTTATTGTCACGTATGCCTTAAGCAATAAATCGGAAGTGCTTTTTGTTTTTTCACTTTATTGCCTTATCCACATAATTGGTTACTTTTTTTTTTTTAGGTTTTTAGGAGTTCTTTTAGGTTTTTTTTTAGGGTACATGGGCTCACCAGCCAGAGACAGTAAAGGGAAAGTGAGAAATCACCCCGGGGAGGATGGCCATGCCACAGTCTCCTCTCCGTTCTCCTCCTGAGATTTTGGGCATGCACACACATGTGTACCTGGTGTGAGTTTCAAGCTGCAGAGTCTGGGGTTTGAACCACTGTGGGCTATCTGTGAGTCCAGCGCTTTAACCACCATGTCACCTGCTGGCCCCGCCTTTTTTTTTTTTTAATAACCCCAGAATTTTTCTCTCTCTTTCTCTTCTCTCCTTGGAATTACCTTTACTTTTCCCTTGTCATCTGAATTCACCTGTTGATTCTTTCTTAAATCTCATTCATGACCCCTGAAAAAGTCTTGAGGACCCCAAAAGCCTCCTAGGCTACATTTTGAGAACTGCTATTCTACATAATGTCACGTCAATGATCTTATCTCTTAATAGCCTTTGGTCAGGGGCTGGCAGGTGGCGTGGTGGTTAGGACATTAGACTCCCACGTGTCCAACCACAGTTTGAGTCTCAGACCTGGTGGCTTTCTCTTTCTTTCTTTTTTTTTTTTTTTTTTTTTTTTTTTTTTGTGGTTTTTTTTT